TACCTTCTCCAAGAATAGGAATATAATATTTGCTCTTTTTGAAAATAGTGAATGGCCGTTGCCACATGATATGGATCTGGTCCACCACGTCAATGAAGACAAGAAATGGTCGCCCACTTGTTCCAAGTTACCCAAGGGTACACTCTCGCAGCCATTGCGGATAGATTGGACCGACCATCGTCTTACAAATTGGACCAAATGCGTAGCAATAGCTTTTGTGACTGATTTCCTTTCCGAAAACAGGGCTGGTTCCTTCGATCTTGAGGAAGGTCCCGATCCAGCAGAAGTATTACGATATTTCATTAGGTTTGTATTGCACTTGAAAACAGTCTACGCACAGCAGTCCAGCTCGTCGTCACACCTTCTTGACCAAAATGAACGTAGCAAATGCAAGGCCAGGAGGCGAAGTCGACGCCGGCAGGTGTGATTGTTTATATTTTCTAGCTCATTTTATTGACCGGATTGCAGCTCTTGAAAGCCAGAGAGACTGCTGCATCTCGTTATGAACTTTCACCCGCAGCTTTGGAAACACTACGTCTTTTAGGGGTCGACGGAATGTCGAGCGAGGAGAGTGAAGGAGAGGTTGGTAAATCAGATCGCCAATATCGGATCAAAATACTCCCTTGGCGTTCCACCACACTTACAAAGTGGTTGCATACCCTTGACCAGCTTCCTTCCAATCAAATCCCAACCTCAAAACCCCGACCAAGACGGACTCGAATCCCAACCGAGTTGATGTCTGAGAATCGTACACCTCCGATGTGCTTGCCTACCCCATTCTTTGATCAAAACTGGCTCAATTCAATATCGGGTCGTTATCGGGCCACCCTCGAGCTCACGAACAGAGAGATCACCTTACCAAGTTTGGCTCCTTACGGGCCCTTGTTGCAATTTTGTAGTGCTCTTCATACTACTGATACACATTCTAATAATGGCTGGTGATAGTGGCAAAATTCAAGTTGATAGTTGATTGTAGATTACCACTACTCTTCTTCCGGAGATGTTGAATGGAAAATTAGGGGGAGATCTAATGTACAATACTACTGGAATACTATTTGGCTATCTCCTACGTTTAATCCCGAGTTTCGTGTATGAATAGGATTAGGAATATGGGTAGTAATCAAGGACAAAAAGCGGCTGTGTCGACGTGCTATTCAGCCACTATTTGGTACACGGAACCCATCAATGCCCGCAGTGTTTCACGTTCCGAGCCGACCAGACCATTTCAATGGTAGTTGTACTAAGCAACGGACAACCACTATTTTCAAAAAGAGCAAATATTATATTCCTATTCTTGGAGAAGGTATCTCTGTACAGCCGACAATGCGAAGTACTTGAAGGGCCCACCTTCATTTGACCTCCCAACGTCCTTGCTTAAATCAACTCTCGATAGGTATTCCTCAAACGAATCACCGTGTCTATCTTCCACACGGTGATTCGGGCTGAACCACCTAAGTGGAAAAGGAGGCATGAGAAAGTAGCCCCGATTCCTCCAATAGTCCCACTCGATATCCACGCGGATGATGTGAAGACCTGGCCAGTCAAGGACACGATCATTTGGGTATCTTTTATCTAGAATCGATAAGTAATCGAGACCAACTGTATGGAGCGGATGTCCTTCTGGAGGAGGTGCACCGGCTGGCCACACATTAAAAAACACGTCTTCCAAATTGGGACAAATACTCCAAAACTCTTCCGGCAAATATATTTTATGCAGTTTGGCTGCAGGTAAAGAGAGTGTCCGCAACTCCTGACCCACGAGCCTCAGAAGGGATAACCAAGCCAGTTCACCAGGCTCCATATCATCAACGCCCCGTAAATCAAGATCCCTAAGTGTAGGAAGGCCTATATCTTCCATGGTGAGTAGAATATTAGACAAAATGGAGGTATGAAAGGATAAAACCAAAGTAGTCAGAGATTTTAAAGATGCTCTTGTATCCAGTTCCCAGCGACAGTTGGCGTACAGATGGCGTAAATATGGTTGGGAGTCGATTAAATGGGTGAGCTTGTTTGTAGGCAAATTGTGGTACGTTGCGTGAACGCTCACTACGTTGGGAAACATACGAGGTGAAACCATATGTTCTAGAACGTCCACACATTGATACT